TGCATTAGCATATTGAATAGATCAGATACTATCACCAGGGGTGCTACTCTGCAACATAGACTCGACACAATGTGGTGTTCTGCTAATCTTTTAAAATAATGTTGAGTTTATGCCTGCGGTCTGCACTGTAGGGTATTAGCTAGACAAATCTCCTTTGAAGCATTGAAATTTCTGGAATGCGTTTTACTGATCATGTGCAAATGTTGTTCTGGCCTTAAATGCTTTGAGCTGCGATTGATATTTGGATTTGCAGATTATGTTGTTAGGCTCCTTTCAAACTGTATTTGCAAACATACATGAGGACTGATTCAGGAAACAAGTGTTTTCCATCCCAGGAGAGTCTTTACAGCTGAATTCGAGTATAGCCTCCTTTCTTTATAGCATAAACAATTATGTGGGTATCCATTGGCAGAACTCATGCCTTTTCTCATAAATCTTGTCCAGAATTCTGGCAGATCACTGAATAGGTGGGTTTAGCTTAACCAATAAATGGTTATGGGTTTGCTTTATTTAGGACTACAATTTTTTTAAGTAAATACATTAAACTGTTGTAACAATACCCATATAATTTAAAACATTGTCTATCCTTGCACAGTAATTATCTTACTATTAGGATAAAGTATACTGCCTTTTTTGTTCATTTTGTCTGATTCCAGTCAGGACTATTCCTATTTTTGCATATTTACCCTTTACCTCATGTCAAGGTCAAGAGGAAATATTAAGTATGCTGCTGGTTTGCAGTCACCACACTCTTCATTTGGGATGCTTGCAGACAATGATGTTTAATTTCCCTTAAATAAGAAAAATAGGAAATGCATGTTTCTTTCTTTCTTTCTTTCTTTCTTTCTTTCTTTCTTTCTTTCTTTCTCTTTCTTTATTTATTTCCATTCATCCAACCATCTATTTATCTATCATCCATCTATCCATCCATCCATCCATCCATCCATCCATCCATCCATCCATCTCTAATTAAAATAGATCTAGAAAAGCAGTTTTCATGCTTTTAAATTCTTAGTTATAATATAAGCTGAACTGACAATCTTTGACTACTTATAAATGGATTTAGAGAAATCTGTCAACTTTCTGTATTGTTTTTCAACCAATTTTTTTATTTTATTTCTAAATAAAATAAAAATAAATCCACAAAAATAACTGCATGCATTTTGGTAGCACATTTCTTAAAATAAATGTATTTTGCATATTTTTTTCTTAATGTGCAGGCTTTTTGAAAATGTTTCTCCTTAAGCAATTTCTTTCTAAACCTTGCTCCTAACTAAGAACTTTGTGTATCAAAAGGGTTTCCAAGGATATAAAATGGAAGAGGACATATTCATCAATTGTAATAATCAGTGACTGAAACACAACATGAGTTTTTTATTACATAGGTTACATTTACACATTATTTCTTCCAAGTATACATACGATATTCTTTGAAAATATTATTTATTATTCCGTACACATTATTTATGCAAGTACATAAAGATGATTTATTCACTTTTCTTTTCCAATATTTATGCATTATTTATTGAAACTTACAAAAAGATTATTTATGCATTATTCATAATATAAAAGCTGTACCAGTGTTTTATAAACTAAATCACTTGAGCCAAGTTCAAATCTTTGTCTGGTCATTACACTCTATTTCTTTGTTTGCCATTCTTCACATTTACTTGTGAATTTACTTATACATATCTTGAATTCCTCCGGCAACAAACAAATGCATGCATATATACATACATACACACACACCTTAATCAATGTAGATATTCTTTTACAAGAATATATTTTCTTTGTGGAAAGCAACTATAACGTCAAGTAGTTTATATGTGCTTGATGTGAAAGTATCTGAAGTGAAATTACATAAAAAGGGAGTCTACACATGGAAGTACCTGCCAGAGAACCTCATTCAAACTAGTCACTATGAAGCAGCTTTCCATTGAAATGCATCTAAGACTTCTTTTTGAAATAATGTGCAGAGAGATCTAGATAATGGAATGGAATTTTAAAATGGCCTCTTCTCAGAGAAGATTAGCTGACATTGTTGATGTAATACTATAAATAGTCTCTAGCTTTGGATGGAGGATCCAGCATTATAGTTGACTTAGAACATTTTTTTTTCAGTTGAAGAGAGTATTTCCTATTTTATGGGGAACTTTAGCTGATCTGTTTCTGGAAAAAAAAAGGCAATACTGGAACTTCAAATTAATCATGTCTTCTAATCAAGGAATGCCACTATGCCAGGCCTAGCAACACATTGCCTGCTAGCCTATGAGGATTAATTAAATTACAATCAGGCATTTTAATGGAAGGACATTGGAGTCTGTTGTCTTGGCAACAGTTTTAAACAGCTGGTTTAATGATAGGTGGAGAAAGGGACTGCTGAAAGACTTAGGTTTAGGGACAGAGTTGTCTGCTTTGCCACAAATAGTAAAGTGGAATAGTAATATGGGCCTTTTCAAATGATTTTAAAGTTGCTTTGTCTGTCAAGCATATAAAACCATTTCTCTCTGCTTGGAGGTAAGCAGCATTTTTAATAGAATAGTACATGTATTATTTCTATTCACTTAAGAAAGGAAATTTGTTCTGATTTTTCTTCTTGTACACTTATCTTCTATGCTTTAGTATTTGCTTTTGACAATGAATAGAGTTTAAAATATGTAATTCCTTTTCTGGAGAGTCAGCCTATATTAAAATTTCTTTTAATATATGAGTTTAACACAACTATCAGAAACCAATTAACTGAGCAGCAAAATGGAATTATGAGTAACATCTAGGCATGAGACTGAATTTTGCAGATTCTTTGTGATGAACAGCTCTTCATTAACAATGGTTTCATTTCTGCTCCCATCTTAAGCATGGTAGTGCATATGATTTGACATTTTCCTGCATAACAAAGTTCTGCCCAGCAAGTGAGATACTTCCTGTCAATGAGAACCACTAAGATATCAGATGGCTTCATGGGACTTGGACTCCCTAATCTGGTTACAATAGCAATAGCAATTAGGCTTACTTACTGCTTCACAGTGTTTTACAGCCCTCTCTAAGCAATTTACAGAGTCAGCATATTGCACCCAAAAATTTGGGCCCACATTTTACCAACCTTGGAAGGATAGAAGGCTAAGTCAACCTTGAGTCGGTCAGGATTGAACTCCTGGCAGTGGGCAGAATTGACCTGCATACTGCATTCTAACCAGTACACTACCATGGCTCAATATTGGTGTTCATGTTTGCTGCTATGTATGCATCTCTTTGTAAAAACAAAGCAACCAACCTAATACTCATATATGTTGTAATTCGTCTTAGACAAAATGCAATGAAAAGTGTTTCTCCATTCCTCTTCTCCAAGGCCATCAATTATTAACATTTGAATAGAGAATCAGAAGATGCTCAAACAGTAGGATGGCTTACAACTAGAAAGGTTATTGTGATTGAGATTTGCATGACTAAACCTAATATATCATAAATATGAACAGACAAAGAAACTTTCATGAGAAAGTATCCAAATGGTCTTTTCAGTAGTCTGCTGAAATCTGAGTTTTCTTTCCTTTCTTTTTTTCAAAGACCAAATTTTAGGAGTAAAGTAGATATGTGGATATAAATGCAATAATTAAATTATTAAATAAATTAAAACAAAAATTATAGATACTAAATCAATTATTTTGACTTTGTGATCTAAGGCAGAAAATTTAAATGACAATATTATTGATGATTGAAAAGGTCATAACAATCAGAACTATTCTGAATGAAAAAATACCAAGTAATTTGACCAAAGGCTCATTCCCAAAGGGAGCATCAAATTTAAACCTCTGCTTTTTTTTCTCTACCTAAAAGCAACCCCCCCCCCCAAAAGCACTAAACTTATGTTTCACTTATGTTGGGGGGACTTTTGTTCAGTATTTCATTTTCAAATACTGTCATCTTTTATTTTTAATATGACTGGAGGTCTCCAAAGCTGGAGGTGATCCAAGCCTCTATAGATTGCTGATAGAGTCTGATAATAAACTAAACCCTTCACTGGTCACATATCCTATTTTACAGAAAATGCTTTATTTTTGAAAAATGCATAAAGTGTAACTATTAACACCTGCCACTTGTGTAAATCTGACAGTCCTCTTTTTCATCATGATTTTTTCCTTTTTTAAGTGATTATAAGTGACCATCCTAGGCATCCATCTGGCATCCTAGTGAGAGCCAAGTTTTTTGTTTTGTTAAAATAATGCAATACAAATTTCTGCTAGCTTGTAATTATTTAAGGTTCTAGCTATTATCCTTAAACTTCAATTATATTGCCAATTTGGGTAAGAGAACTGCAGTGATATATATTCATATTGTGTATAACTGGTTCAGATTTTATATAACTACACACACATATGTGCATACAGACAAATGCAGAGGCATACTGAAATAAGAAATTATTGGATTGTTTTCATGGAAAACACTGCCTGAAATTTTTGAAGGTGACAAATAAATACACTGAAGAATTCACAGTTGCATTCAAATTGTGCACTGTAACTCTTTCTCTGTCCAGTTTCTATATATTCAGCAGAATATCAGAAAATGAGCTATCTTTGCAATCTGACCCCTAATTTATTAGAACTTGGACTGCATAGGAAATGGCACTTGAATCCTGCTGCCTTTCATACTGAATGTTTAAGGATAGGATCAAAGAGTAGGAAGTTGAGGGCATCTTTGTCACTCCAGTTTGTTGTTCATGCATTCAACAGAACTCATACAGATGTTGTTTAATTAGATGGATATTTATTTAATTTCTATGCTTCCCTTCAGGAGGTTCTATCCTAGGTCATTTATTTTACTGTAAAATAACAAATTTTCAAAAAGTGATTCCATAGAGGCTTTTGCTTAGATTCAGTTCTGACAGACAGTGTATGTAACTATGTTTGACTTCTGTTTCTAGTCTATAGTGATATCAGCCTACAGTTCCCTTTCCCTTAAATTCAGTAACAATGACTAATCTGTAGTATGTCTGACTTTTTTCCTAGATCCGAGCAGATGGGCCTCCTCATGGTGGCATTCAGTATGAAATGGTACCAATATTCAAGGATGGGAGTCATATCCTCCGTGACATGGCTTTTTCCACAGATCATAATTACCTCTATGTCATGTCAGAAAGACAGGTAATTCTTACTTTTCCACACCTAAGTGCATGTATGTTTCACAGCAGTGGTTAAACACTGTGTTTTTTACAGTGTCCTTAGCATTTATGTCAAATGTGGGGATTTTCTACAGAAGGTTTATTCTATAAATAAATTGGTTTTGTGTCTGTGTGCTGAAGGCAGGTGTTAATACACCAGGAGAGGAGAAACTTTCCTTCTCACTGGCACAAGGGGTGTTGAAATCCAAGTTAAACAGAGGCACTATGAATAAAATACAGTTTGAGGATTTGGGCTGCATTTTGTTAGCAAAATTGTTGGGTTTCATTTTGTTAGCAAAATTGTTGATTGGAAGTCTTATCCATTCATTTCTCTCCATATGCTTGGCAATAGGTTACATTTACACAGAATTGTTTTGTTGTATTGTTATTCTGGATCTAATGTGAGACAATTGTTTATGGTAATCAAATTTTGCTTTATATGATATACTTGGATATTAAAAATTTCAAAGTAGCTTTTTAAAAATAAAAATTGCTTTAGATACATTAGTTAATTTTATTTACAATTATAAATAAGTCTCTTGTGATCTCCTTGTTATTGTTTAACAATAACAACTTTTTTTGCATTCAGTTTAACCAAGATGTATTGGTTACATCTTGGTTAAACTGTAAGTCTTTAAGACTCAAGCATTTATGCATGTCAAATTAGAGTTGTTTTTAGACTGCCTGATGGTGTGAAAGGTTAGAGATAGAGACTTGCTTTGCTATGTCAGCTTTTTGATTCTTTGGTATTTACTATCTTCAGAGCACTTGCTCTAAAATGTGTTTATCATCTTGATAAAATGTCCCCCTGAAAAAAGGAACCAGGTCGCATCTAGCAATACCAAAATGACTGTAATGAAAGTTATATCCTTTGCAGTCCACTTGTGTCTCTTGCCTGCAGAGCCGATTCCATGTAAATAATCCAGAACACTGACTCTAACAGATTGACTATATTCAACTCCTGTCGGAAATGAGAAAATGCACAAGGTTCCAGCCATGAAATCATACTCTTGGGTTCACTGATTCTGTTAAGCATTTTAGTGGCTATCACTCATGACTTGATAATATTGAATAATTTCTTTAGCACTGTCTGTAGGGCAAGTCATGAAGATATCCAAATTGTACTATATATTTCTATGTTGAATTTAACAGGTTAGGTGTGAATTTTCAGAAGCCAGAAAAAAAGAACCACATTTCCAAATGTAAGTCAGCACAAAGTGACAGAGAGGGAGAGAGGTTTGAAAATGCTAAACATAAAGATCATACAATAGCCCTTCTTTATATGAAAAAAATCCCACAAGCAATAAAATTGATAGAGAATAATGCAATGCAATAACAATTGAGTTGGCAACCCATTTTTCCTGTTTTCTTAGTTTGTTTGATAAAAAAATTGTATAAGTCTGTCAGGTGTTATTCATTCATGACAGAGTGGCTCATTTTTCTAGTGAAAGAATAGAACTACTTCCCTTTGTAGTTATAAAATAGACAAAGATTGTGATGCTTGCTTCTCAGAACTAGAGGAGGCCACTACTTTACTTGACTAGATTTGTTAACCTCCCAGCCTATTTTAATGTTTAGATTGACAGAATTACACTAGGATAATATTTTATTGTCTGAAATGGGTCTCCAGTTTTTATCTCTTGGCTATTATGCTACGTTCCCTAGAATAAATCTGCTGCTTTAGTCTGTTTCTGCATACATCTACAAAAGTAAGATCATGCAGGCTCATTTTCTTAAATCTGTTCCACAATTTAACAATTCCGTCCCAGTCTACTCACATAAAAATAATTCTCAGAATTTTTAGTAATGCTCCAAAATGTTTCTGTCTGATATTCCTCTAAGTCTAAAAAAAATGAGTTCACTAGAAATCCTGCAAAGTATGACTAGTTTAAAGCAAGTTTAATTAATATCTTTTCTATAACTTTACAAAGGTGAAGATAAGATTTTACTCAACTAATGGCAAAAACACTCAAAATAAACATATTTATGGATTTGAATTGTGATAGTATATTTTATGTTGAAATCAACAATTGATAGGCCTGTTTTGTCATTATTTATCTATAGTGAGCACAAGATAAAAATTGCCTTTGAAAATGAGATGATACCTTATACTATATGTGATTTAATTCATTCATACAGTACATGATACTATATTGTGCATTTTTCTTGAATATGTATGCATATTTTATCACAAAGAGTTATATAACATTTGGAAGCTACATAAAGTGTGAAATCTTTATTTTCAATCTTTATGTAAACATGAAACTTTATTTGCAAAAAGAATATTGATAAAACTGAAAAAACAGCAGCAAAAAACATGACATATAATCTTTTTACAGGCCTAAGGTATTAGCTGCCAATGTTTTTCTTAGTAGCCAATTACATCAAGCCTTGACACAAAGTGTGAAGGATTAGGATTAGGATTTATTTCATTTATATGCCGCCCTTTTCCCCGAAGGGGACTCAGGGCGGCTCACAACTCAGTCAAGGGAAAGGAGGTACAAACAGGGGATAACAAAGACAAACAAACAATACACAATTTAAAACACACAACAACCGTACCATTCGAGAAGGGGGGGGGCAGAAGCTCTTTAGCCCCAGGCCTGCCGGAATAGCAGGTTTTAAGGGCTTTGCGGAAGGCCTGGAGGGTGGTGAGGGTTCAAAACTCCACGGGGAGTTCGTTCCAGAGGGTCGGAGCAGCCACAGAGAAGGCTCTCCTCCGGGTAGTCGCCAGTCAGCATTGGCCGGTGGATGGAATTCTGAGGAGGCCTAATCTGTGGGATCTAATCGGTCTATTGGAGGTAATTGGCAGCAGGCGGTCTCTCAAGTACCCAGGTCCAATACCATGAAGGGCTTTATAAGTGATGACTAGCACTTGAAGAAAGGATTAATATCACATATACCACAAAATAGAACAATAGTACCACATTAAGTAAATGAAGAGTATTGCTTGTTGATGATTTAACTTATTTCTCCTTAATCCTGGGAAAACACAATTTATGTATTATTATGAATTGCAAACATTTAGGGCAGAAATGTCAAACTGGCAGCCCATGGGCAGATGCATCACATGCAGGCCACACCCACCCCAGCTCCATGAATGGGAAAAATGTCACAAAAATTAATGTGACACTGCAAGTTTGACACCCGAGATTTAGAGCAAGTGGTAAAATAGCATAGAGACTGCCATCAAGAAGATCTGAACTCCAGTGTTGTCATTTCACTTAGGATGGATTCAGTGAAGCCACAGGACAGATTAATTTTTGTCAGGAGAAAAGCTGCACTAAGTGCATGGATGCCAAGCCACAGAGACTTCAAATGTTAAAACCAGCACTTGAATTAGGCTGAGAAGCCCTTTGATAACCAGTGTAGGGACCTCAGCATAAATGTCATCCCTCTGAACATTGTCATCAGTTAGATTGTCATAATTACAATCAACTGCATTTTCAAGCAAGCTCAATAATAGGAGGAAGTGAAAAAGATAAGTATATTCCAATCTTAAGAGCAGCAATTTTAATATTTTGATAGGAATTTGAAATTTCAGTAGGAGAAGAGGAACAAAGGGAAATGAAATGCAATGATGTCAATACATTATGTTAAAATTGTATTTCAAAGCAACCTGATCTGAATAATAGAAAGCCTCTGCTGCTTTGAAATGGCCACATTGAATATGTTTTATTTGCAATGTATATTGACATTGCATGGGATATATATTTGATAACATTTGGGCTATCTAGTAACCACAACGTGTATCCTTTTTTCATTATTGTTACTTAGCTTAGTTTACTGCTTAGAGTTTTGTTTGTTGATTTAAGTCAAATGGTTTACAAAATATGAAACCATAAAAACATTAAGATACCCTTATGACAGCTAAAGTTTGTAATAAAAGAAAGCAAAGAAATGGAAGCATATGATGTTCACAAAAATGAAGAATATTTTTGTCTGTTTTGTATTTCTTTCTGACTGTGAGCCATTTTTCAGTATAGGATATTATATAACACAAAATCACATTAAAAGTGGGGGGGGGGAGTTAATTGACCCAAGTCAGACTTGACTGATAATTTCATGGACAAAACCATGTTATTTTCTTGGCAACAATAAAGAAGCTTCCCATTGCTTTGTTCTGGGAGAATTTTGGACTTCCCCATCTACTCTACAAACTTGCTGCTCATTACTGCTCTCCCATTTTAATACTAAAAAGGACTCACCCCACTTAGGATTTGAACCCAAAGGTGGTATGGTGCTTTTGATAATTAATCTGGAAAACATTGCATTTAAAAATCTTCTGTTGAACTATAATTCATCACAGTTCTGCAATTCTGTAAATATTGATCTTTTTATATTTCCTATCTGTACTTGTTCAGACAAAGAAATGTCTATTCAGAATAAAACATAAATATTCCCATTTTTAAAAGAACAATAGAACTTCAGAGCTCCACTGTAAGGTATAACATTCTTGATGTAAAGAGATTTGATAATGAGGCATCATGTATAAGTTCTAATTATTGGTGGTTAGATATTACATTTCTGTGAAACTAATTTTATGCATGATTTTCAGACTTTGACTTGAAACGTATTCAAATGGTTGGAAGAAATTCCATGATGACAACTAAAAGTTCCAAATTTGCAAAATTGTAATGTCATATAAAAGTCAAAAACTTCAAAACAAAAGAAATATAAAGATTTTTAACACTTTAACACATGATAACATTCACACAAATCCAAATGAAGTTAACACAGAGTGAGATAACACTCTGCTCAAGGTGACAAACAATCACAACTTTAAAATCTTAAACTTCAGCTTTTATACTGATTAAAACAATTACTGTCTCATAATTGTTTGCAATTATGAAACCTTAATAGATATTTTAAAATCTTGAGCAAGCACTTTAAGGAATTACAAATACTTATGTGTCAAATTGCAGAGGCAAATTATCTTGTTGGTCTGAGTTTTCTCCTTTTCTCACACTGATCAAGACAATC